AATTCTTTCTTTTTCAATTGAAACGTTCACTCGATGATTTTGCAGACATTTTTAAATAAATAAGGAGACAAATATTTTAGGCAACATACAATTTGTTATTTAAATTATATAATAGATGGTGTTTCACGAAAACCAGGTCACCCGAATATCTTCTCTATCAGTGATACTTATTGAGAGAAGAGTTTAAATGAGACTTATTGTTAGATAAATAAAAACTCTTCGTTCAGCATCGCGAATTATGTGTTTCGTACCTCGAATCTCATCTGTTATCAAGTCTACTGGTTCACAAAATTGAGAGATAGCAAAACATATTCAGTTGCAATCACGAAAGTTCAATTACAAAAGTCAGTCAATAGTGTTAGTTACAAAAAGTTATTCAAGACAGATGTCACAAATTGTTAGTCAATGCAGTTAGTTACAAATAGTTATTTAGCATAGTTAGCCACGAAAGATTATTCAAGTAGACGGCACTTAGTCTCACGTTGTTAGACATTCTTGCCCCAGCAAGCAAGAATTGCTCAATGTTTTTCTATTTCTTTTGTGAAAATTCGTTCAAGTTTCATTATATTGTTTTGGAAAAGTTAGTTATAATTCATAGAAATTTTGCTTTATGAATGATTACAGCGGAGAGTGAATTATTTTTCAGTTTTTATAATTAAAGTTGAATTTTTTTCTAATATATGTAATATTAAACAAGCAAAATGAAAAAGAAAATGTTTTAAAAGTAAGAAAATTACAACATAACAACGTTTTCATTTGTCTTTGTTTTGCGTGGGGGATTTCAGTTTCAAGAAACCCGATCTCAGTTTATTATGTGTCATACTATTACAAATATTATAGACACAATTCAGATTTATAATTAGTTAACTAGTTTATAACGTCACTTGCGCATACATAACGCAATTCTAGATATGTTTCAACAATAAATGATATTGTGAGTCACTGAGTTCGTCTTAATTGTCACGAAAAAAATTAAAAATTCCATTTCATTTGAAATTTATTTCACCACTCGAAAATATAAAATACAATTTGCACCACATAATGTACCCCTTTGTATCAAATTTGTAAAAATATTTCTTTAGTCGATTTCATAAGCAGCAAAATATATAATGATATATTTCATACGTATGTCTATATTTTTCATGAAATCTTCGTCAAATATTAAAGATTTATATTAAATAAGTAACAAGTAAATAATTAAATAAATAATCATTATTATCATGACATTGATAAGCAAGGTAGTTTATAGAAAAATTGCGAATAATATTTCAATTAATAATTAATTTTTAACTAATGAATTATAGAATTTATGTTATTTGTCACAACCGATGCATTGCACAATTATAACAAAATTGTTAAAAATTTAATGTAAATTTGAATATGTAATATAAGGAATATGTAAATGAGGAAATATAATAATTTCAATATTTTAACATTAACAATAATTCAAAATAGTTGAAAATTTTGTCAGTTAAAAATTTATACATAAAAACCATGTATTAGTAATTCAAAAATTTTAATTTACTATGTATTGAGAAAAGTTGTGAAACACAAGTCCGTAAAACATGGATAAACGTCTTTCTGATATAGAGTAGAATGATTTCGATTACTTCGTCTATGGTTGACAATTCGGTATTGAAAGTTTGACAACACTGTAATGGATTTCAATGTCATGTTGTTGGTTCATTCTCTAGGTCCATAATTCACTGTTGTCTAAACATAGAATGTGCTAAAAAACCAGTGATTTTTTTTAGTGTGTTGTATTTCAACCACGAAAGTCCGTAAGATGCAATGTCTATTCATATATCTCGTCGGTGATGGTATGGAAACACCGTTACCAATCGCTGTGATCAAAATACAAAACACAATCGATGACATGTATGAATATTTGTTATTTGTAAATGCGAATTTGAATCATGCGACATAGTGTTACTGGGAGACGAACGAGCATGTCATCCCTAATCCCGAGTACGAGCAATACTTTCAAGACATAGTTTCTCGAGACAGGAATGGGCTATGGCCATTTCTTCTAAAATTACCAGGCGAGTCGCGGAAGCCGACAAATTGAATCAAGATACGACTATGTATCAAGAGTATATCAAGTTCATGCGCGAGTATGAAAGCCATAGATTTAGTTCTCTGCGGGACATCGACAACGACTCGGTCTGGCCTGTCTCAAAGTGACTTGATCAATATGTTAATTCGTTTCCGCAAGCAGCGATCCGTTTTATCTGCCGACATCGAGCAGATTTCAGTGGATCCTCTGGAGATACTCGCACAATAAACCAATCAGTACATACGAATTGAACACGGTCATTTTTGACTACAAGGCGAACACTGCGCTACCTAGCATCCATTGGCCAGTCACGTCATCATCTGTGATTTCTACCTCGATGATTTACTGACAGGAGGTGAGAATCTCGCGCAATGATGCAGCTCTGCACTGCACTAATGAAAATATTGAAATCAACAGGCATGCCCTTATGAAAGTGTGCAGGCAACGATCAGTGGTTAATGTTCGACAACAAAAAGAAAAATGCAAGCAGCCTCGAGATCAAGAGACCTGAAGAGAGTCCTAAGATTGCATGGATTGCATTGATCCGTTCAAGAGGAACAATCAAATCTGAAATAAAACGACAATACAACAACAATGGGTAAGGAATTTATCTTGGGACGAAGGTTTATCCCAAGATCAGTGATACTCCTTTCAATGCACCGATCAGAGTGCATTTGCTACAATATCGAGTCCGTGGCACCTTGTACGTATAATATGCATCATGCTCGCACGCAGTATCAACACATCTCAACTCAAAGTCAATGCATTCAGGTGGCAGAGATCAACATAGCTATCCTTGGATTTAAACCAACGGCCCTCCACGTAATCAGTAGTTCCAGTAGAAAAAGGCAACTTTAATGATATGTCTATCGTACACCGAACAAGCGCTGGATCAGTCTTCGAAAAGTACTAGTCTTTGCAATAATCAAACGAATGTAATTATATCGTCACTTGCTTGCAATAATTACATATCAGTTGATGATGCACATTAACATTTCTTCTTGCGTCAGTATCGTACTTCGTTCGAGGCATTCAAGGTGAGCAGAACTTTGTCGCATGTTCATTCGTGTGCTCTGTATCATAGTTTATATTTCCGTTGGACATTTCTTTGAATGTATTCCTTGAATATTTATTGGATAAGAGCTGAGGAGCATAGCGTAGATCAAGACGGTCGCTCTGTTCTCGGCTGTCTTCGAGGAACGGTAGGCATCGATCATTATATCGATTATTTACTTCATCGTTCTCAGAGCAATTAAACGGATCATCCATTGTTAGAACTAGAACCATTCTGACCGATCAGGTCGCGTAGCAAAAATGCTGCAATTTTCACCGAACAAACGTTAAATCTTCAACGAATCAGAATACTTACAATTCGACGAATGAAAGTGTTACAATGTTCAACGAAGAAAAATCTCTATAACTTTGATGAATAATCAGAAGCAGTAAAGCATTTGCATAGTTTTTTATCAAGTAACTTTGCTTGTTTCATTTACAAGCAAAGTTAATCACTCAAGTAAGACATGTTCATTAGTATGGAATTAAACGTATCTTTCAATACTCAGACGCCACACTTGACGGCCTGTACAACTAAGAGTAAGTCGCAACAAAAAACATACGAAATACCGAGCAGTTAGTTATCACCCACGATAATGATCAAAAAATTTATTTCGTGTTACGTGCTGTTAATTACCATAGGAGTATTCTATTTAAGGCAGTGTG